AACAGCATCTGAACCACACGGTTGGAGGTGCAGAATAATATGCAGTTCAAGAAAGTGGCTCCCTGGATCATTTAATGATCATGTAAGAATTATATTTAAAAACTGTGCTAATGCAATATTATCATTGACTTCAAATACACAGAACACCAGGAGATGGAGATTTAAAGTTTTAGTCAGGACAGCTCTACATGAAATACTGCTACTTTGGGCTTGGCTAGCACTTGCTGACTGAAGTTATTGAGCCTCACTGCCCCACATGAGTTAGACACAAATTTTAACAGTCATGAGTTCTCCTGGAGAAGCAAATTCAGATTCATAATAAATGGTGTAAAACCGTAACAGAAACTAATATGAATACACCTAAATTTAATCCAATTCATGAAACTGTTTAAACATAGGATTAAATTTTTAAGCCTGTGCTTCAATCTCAATGGCCTAATTGGAAATCGAGTATATGCTGAATACTATTCTGAAAAATTATGATCTTTCAACTCTGGTTTAAGTACTTAATTCTTCTAGGATTTGGTTTACAGTATATTTAAAGTTAAATTCAACATATGGGAAAAGCAGTGGTTATAATATTTAGTAAAAAGGCTGCAACTGTCTCAAAAAAAAGGTAAATTTCGACCTAGATACAAACACTATCAGATTCGCAGTTTTAGAAATAAAGTTAAAAAAAAAGAAACCCCTTCAGAAACATGAGAACAAGTTAATTTTTCTCATACATTCAAACATGTTTTATTTTTCATTAAGCAAGTCACACGATCATTAAAAATACAACTTTGAATAAATCTATAAATTTCAATATGACATTAGAAACAGCAATATTAAAATAACTGATAGCATGGACATTCTGTCAATGTTATTTGTACTTATCAGTATTGTAATAGAAATTTTTAAAAATAATCTAAATTTACCTTTTTAAAGTTCACTGGATATCATTTTAGTCATATTCATATATTTCTTTAGAACACTAACATAATATGCCTTTAATGGAGCCACAAAAACCTGTGATCTAGCCATTAGTTGGAACTATTATATGGAAAGCACATGGCTTTTTCTGAAGGTTCAAGTTTGAACTTGAAAACATTTCTTTCTTTTCTGAGCAGATCTACTCATCCTGTAATGGAAAACAGCACCGCTCAGATCCTGAAGTGATAATTCACATGCAAAGTCAAATGTAGGTTCAATGCAATCTTCTGACTTCACCAGGAGTTCAGGGCAGACACCAGCAAACCAGCACACTGCTATGGACAACCGAGCAAGTTCCACCAATTAAAGAATCTCCTGAAGATAAAATATCGCTACCCACATAATTCTGACTTTTTCATTTGGTATACATTGAAAGAATACTAATGAAACAAACTTGCATTTTACTTAACAAAGAGAATATGGCTAATCAGCAAATTTCACACAGATTTGCTTAAAATAATTTATGGCTACTCCACTATCAGAAGATGCCATCGAACGTGGACCCATATTGCACTGATCCTACCACCAAGCTGTGTGTTCATATTATAGGACTTTTTAACATTAGCATGCTAACCATAAACAAGCCTAAGCCAGAATTTTCTGGGCCTCCTTTACCAAAGAAAGGGAATGCACTTTTAAGTAATTGCTTCCTCTTCTGATACATCAGATGCACAAACCTGAGTCTTCATTAAAGTTCAGAGTAAATTCTATTTTAAAAGTGCCCCAATTTTGATCAGACAGCGGAAACTGCAAAGACATTACTCATGATCCACTGATCCACAGAAGAATTCAGAGCACTACAGGAATCTAACACATGGAAAAATACCGATGTAAAGGGTATAAAAAATGATGACTAAAAAAAAAGTGTTAGAGCTGGTTTGTCACAGAATATATGCTCTATTGGTTTATATTTCTTCATTGAAATACTTTTCCCTCAAAAATTTGACACATATAGCAATGGACAAACAGAGAAATTTTATGAGCAAGTAAGAAAGATAGACAGCAAAAGATAAATGATCCAAAAGAGAAAGGGGGAATTGAGCAAAGTGCATATTTACTGAGAACTTACTCTTGACAATGCCGTATTTCTGAGCTATTAGTGCTGCCTGCAGGCTCTTCCCACTGCCTGGGGGTCCACAAAAGAGAATCCGTGGTGTAAAGGGGGCAGCTGATCGGTGTTGGGTTTGGACATAGGTAAGAACTAGAACATGAGAGAAAGGCAAGAAATACAGTTTATATCCTGTCTTCTTTTAAAAAAATAATATAAATATTAACTTGTCTCTCTCTTTTTTTTTTTAAAAAAAAGGTTGCATTGTTGATCATCATTTATTTTATCACTTAAACATCTAGATACTCCAACCAAAATCAGGTCTCTGATAAAACTGTCATGTCAACAGCTTACACTGAGAGCCACTTTAGAAATCTGACTATCATTACACTCCTATACCTTCTTTCATCAGCGGATGTCAAACCATTTTAAAGAGCAGATTCAATTAATAACTGCTCTTTTTCTGGTTTTTTTTTTTAGCAGGAGTAATTTTGCTTGATAGGTACAATTTTACCATACAAATTAGTGGGATATAATTACATTTAATACTTTCTGCAGTTTCTGAACAAATATTTAAGTGTGATAACTCAGGATGTTACGTTAATATGACATTTATCTAGCTCTGTGTGTGTGATTAACAAACTCCTAATTACAATATTAGGATATCCTGACACAAGACGGCATTGACAACACATAACCAAGTATGATTTTACTCTTTTGTCCATAATTTTTGCATAATATGTAAAGGATACCTGAGCTTCTCTGTCCAATTCCACTGTTTCCTGGACATCGTTGTACATTTTGTATCATGTAGGAAATACTACATTCACTTTAAGCTACAAATTATAAGAGCTTTGGAAAGACCACAGGAGAAGTGATGCACCATCAATATGACTGTATGATAGAAATCTGAACTTTGTTACAATCTCAAAAGAAAATCTGATAGATCACCAAGAAGCTAAAAGACGACATGACTTGGTAGTGGGGACAAATTAGGGTCGTATTTGGACATTGCCAGACACTCTTACTCCCCGTGCCCCTTTCACGGCTAACAAAAAATAAAGCAGCACAAGCTTCCACACAAGCCTTGCAAGCTTTCCAGGAGGCACAGCTTCAAATGTGAAGGCTGAAGTTCATGCTATCATATCCTGACCACCATAGCTACCCATGATTAAAGCAGCATGCGCAGACCTACACAGGCTTTGATTTCCTCTCTAATTAGACTAAAATACCATTTTATTGGTATTATATTGCAATAAATAGGATGGGCTTAGCCATTAATGTTCATATGAATCATAAGCCCATACTGGGGGAATTAAAAAAAACAAAAACCATTGATGAAGAGCATCATAAGGATCAGTATTTTAACTACCATTGTTACCACATTGCTGTACACTAACTTCTTCTGAGGATGCTCTGCTATACACTGTGGTATCATTATAAAATCTTTTCACAACAAAGAAGCATCTCCAGCAAACTCCAGCCCTGCTACTTCTAGGTGGTGGACCTGAAGTACTGAGAAACCAACTCAAACTGCAATCACATGGGATCATATACATCTCCTTCTCCAGTGCCACCAGCTGTACAACTGAAACACTGTACAACTGAATTTGATGTCATGTATCCTAGCATACATTAGCAGTAATTGCATTACAGTTTAAGAGTTTACAAAATTTTATAACTGTATGAAGCACTCCTTAATAATACTAGTATCGGTGAAAGATGTCCTCTTTCTTTTTTAACTCTATTTGTAGCAATAAAAATACTTAACAAAAACCCTGGAAGATCATAACAGATTTTACTAAAACCCAAGTATCAGCTACCCAAGGAGTGCTCTCGTTATTCTGAACATTTTCCATAACCCAGTGTATTGAAAAGCACAAACATTACAGGCAAAGCACCCTGCTTACAAATGATGCTTAATTTGCAGTAAATAACCAAGTTAATTAGGAGTAATGATCCCCTAGACAGTCTCCACATCTAATTATTCTTTAAAAAAAAAATCTGGCTGCTTGATGCACTGCAGAAAAAAGATCTAGAGAGGATTTTTTCATTCCAGTTTTCAATTTATCTCACTACATTATTAATTAATAATAATTAATATTCAGGCACTCACATTTTTATTTACAATTCAAGGCATGAATTCTTTATGAATGATGATATGAACTTTTAAATTTAATTAAGTAATTTAGAGGTAATTAATGTGTAAATTCAGAAAATAAACTTCCTACTTGTTTATCTTAAAAGTGCAGCACTTGTTATTAAAAAAAGACCTTTTTGAGATGCAAAATTACTGGGATATAACAGACCATCTACAGACTGACAGCTACAAAGTACATTATCAATTGGTCTTTCTGGCAGTTTCCTTATTCTCTTCTTGAAGAATCAACATTAAAAGTCAGATTGCATTACAGTCAGGCAAAGGCAAACAAGAATTGTTGAACAGAAAAGCCACCAGCACAAACAGCTTTTAAATAATGAAATGTTACCGGCTTTGAAATACTCCTACTTCTTATCAGACCTGTGGAAGGTCTCTCCCTTGGGGAGATGAACAACTGAGCCACAACTGAGCTTCTTTTAGAAAAGACTCTCACAGAAATAATGGTGACATTTGCTCTATGGAGTCAGCTGTTCCTCAGCAAGACGGTGGAACCAAGACTTTGCAGTTACCTGCACTTACTCTAGTCCTGTAACGCAATTACCAGGAACAGCCCAAATGCTGTCCTAAAGAGAACACAGTTCAGCTGGGAGCCATCTCTGTTGACTAATCCTCATCCTACAAACTCTCTCTAACGCTAGGAACTACCTTTCAAATACGAGTGTATCAACAGCCAGATTTGCCATAAAGGTACACATTTACCCTGTGAGAGGACATCCATGGAAGGCTGGTCTGCATTGAACGATTTCAAAACTTTTTGGTAGGTCTGGAAAACCCCAGGGAAGTTTCTGTGATATTCCAGCAGTTTCTTTGACGTCTCCTGCTCAGAAAGATCTTCTGGTTTCACCAAACGTTGCTGTACCAGCCGATCACTCGGCCAGTCAAAGGTCGTATGGTACACCTCTAGAAGTGAGACACTGATTAGGAACCAAGAGGATGATTGAATAGGTCTTGCTCAGCACCAGAAGGTTTCCTAAACAAAATCAAGGTCTTTGTTTAAGCTTTATATTGCAGCACAACTAATAACCCGTGCACTTTCCTCGCACTGCCAGCTGACTCTGCAGCTGCACAGATAGGAAGCGGCCAAGGCAACTGCCCACCCATGTAGCCAAGACAGCATGACAAGTAAGAACCAGGAACTGAGGACAGCTCTCCAAATTCTTAGACTGAACCTTAAGCAAGACCTTTGATAAGCAAATCTTCTTTATAGCGAACAAAAGCCATTTATTTAGTTAAGAACATAACTACTAATTCCCCTTGCAAAACATCCAACGTGATTTTTTTTCTATTGAGCAATGTCAGGACTTTACTCTCATGATGGATGATTGATAACAATACTCAACAGCCAATACAGAGCTAAGTCTATTTGACAGTCACAGATAGTTGGAAGATACCTAGAAGCATGCCTGCACCTCAGAAGAAAACACTACCTAGCAAATACACATAGCAAAATGTAAGCTCAATATGGACAAATCTAACCCTCAAATATTCCGTACTGCCATAGCCCACTGATCGCAGTCGCAATACTGAGCTTTACATTTTTCCATATTTTATTCGCACAGAAAATAACGCAATGTCAACAATTACTTTTTCCAAACAGATTAAATTTATAATTACAAATTCCTACTAGTTCTTAAAGGGATACTGTTTAAATTTTAATCCCACCAGTATTTCAACATTTGATAACAAGCAACACTCCAGATTCTAGTGGAGATCAGAAACAAACACATACTGCACCTTCTGTGACGGGATCAAGTCTTTTCCCACTGTTCCTCTCAATCAGCACAGTGTCTGGAGCATAAAGCACAACTAGACACATAAAAAAAAGAGAAATAAAGAAGAAAAAATTAAAAAGTGTAGCTCTTGTTAGTTACTTGCATTATTTTCTGTAACTGTTTAGATGAATCCTAGTATAAAAGATGGATGAATGTATTTCAGGAACATTTGTCTCATTCTCCTTTTCCAATATTCTATCTGCAAATACTTCACTTCTAATTGGAATTTTGCTCCACCTCCTAAACAGTATAGTGGGATAAAAAAATCTACTGCTCCAGTCCAGTACCCAGGAGCAGTAGCTGTTCCCACCATCCATACCAATTAACAAGGTTCTCCCTCAATTACATTGTATCTGCAGCCTAGGACAGAAGTACCCACAGGTTGCTCAAGACCCATTCTCTTCTACACCACAAACAATTACTTTTCACCCCCATACTTCAGCAGAGACACCAGTGAAACTTATCTTACAACCTCATAGAAAAGTGTTCAAACTTGATTAGAAAGCATCAAAAGATGGAGAATTTGTTTCCTAGCTTGCCCACAGGTACACACTGTAATTTAATTACTATTTTCAGTGCATTTGATTATAGGTTTCAAACAAGTTCTTCTTATGATTTTCTTCTACGTATCAAATAGCTCTTTCAGACGCTTTTCTACCCATTAAGGTACTCACACACTGTAAATCTCATCTCCTTTCAATCTTCTTTTTGATTAACTAGACAGACTGAGCTTTAAGATTCTCATTCAGGTCTTGGCTGCACAGATATAATTGTGAGCAAAACTCAACTTCAGATGTTATTAGCTATATTAAAAATACATGCAAGTACTAGACATTAAACATTTTTGCCTAACTCTACTGCAGTGATTCTGAATTCTTCATTAACAGTCGAATCTCATCCAAATCAAATCCAAAGTGACAATTCATCAAGTTCACTAACATTCTGTTCACTATCCACTGGCAAGCTCTACATTTATAATTTTATGCTGTATTCCACCCTATAATAATTTCTTACTTTCTAAGTAGGTCCTCTAACTATATTTATTTAGGACAACTGACTGTGTCTACACGGCATGGGCAGTTGTCAAGGTCTTGTCTATCAGCACTTTGCCAGTAAACAAAGGTTCCTCTCAGATCAAATCAGAATCCACTCCTACTCTGAAAGGACAAGCTCAAAATCATTATGTTTCCATTTCACTTGGTGGAGTAGAGTTTGCTAAGTTTGCATTCTCTAATACAACAGAAGGATGAATTTGTATTTAGTACATGGGGAATTGTTTTGGTCTGAGAATAAAGGCTAATTTCTAGAGTTGGAAGTCAGGGAAAACTTAGACCCACTCCTAGATCAGAATATACATAGAGCTGCTTAGAGACACTGAGCTGGAGTGGTCTTGAAAATACAGAACTAATGTGTAAGAAGAAAAGGGTCCATGTGTGAAAGGCAGGGTTTAAAGTCTCAAAGGTTACCTCAAGTTTTTGAGTCAATCTGATCGATAATGAAATATCCTGCTGTCTGGTGACTCCAGTGTCTTCAGTATCAGTATTGAATTTATGGAAGATTTTTGGGGAGAAGCACTTCTAGTCTTTCCTACTGGCTCCAATCACACATAAACCGTGTACTGCTTACCAACGTGCCTAGGAATGATGCCAGCTGATTGCAGCATCCATGCCTGTTCTTGATTTTCAGGAAAGCCTTCCAAAATCCATCCCTATTGAACAAAAACATGAAACAGTTATTGATGCTGGAAGAGAAACCACAAAAATTTGCACTAAATATCAGTGCTATTTGCACAAAAGTTACCTCATTCTGATCAGCACAGTATGTTAGGGAAGCTCGTGAGAAGAGAAAGCAAACATGGAGCACTGACATTTTTGTGAAACGGCACGCAACAATACCACTGCCACGGGGCAATGGGAACTTATGTATTGCAGCAATGCTTTTTTTTGTTTTCTTCATGTTTCAATCTTAAAAAAAGAAAGAAACTTCTATCTTGAATAAAAACAACCCAAAACAATTTCTGCAGTTTTGAAATATTCAAAAGGATATCAGCCCACACTGTGTATAAAAAAAGAGGCTAAACAAATCTAAAGACAGATTTAATGCCGAGAACACTGAGGAAAATATGCACGCTTTCATTATTTTCTTAAATTATACAGGAAAACTCACAGTAATGGAACCAGCGTTCCCAAAGCTAATGAAGCAACAGAGCAAAAGAAAGAAAAAAGAAAAAAGAGCCTTTTGCTCCCTTAAGTCCTTGTTATAGCCAGCTAAGTGTTGGATTGAGCATCTTTAAAAAAACATTTACAGATCTGTGAAATACCATAGGAGAGCTGCAGCCTCACTCAGTTTCTGTGTGATGCAGTATTTGAAATCTAATCGACTTCCCAGTCTCAAGTCTGCCTCTTCTAAACTTTCTCTCATGTATTTGTTAGTTCTTTAACTACACATGTCCTTGTCACTATATCCTACACCTCAAAATAACTTTGTGATGCTACAATAAATCTGGAAACCATCTTTGTACTGAAATAAAGAAGATATTATAATATTGCATTAGCTAGCAATCATTATCATCTCCCACATAAATTTGGAGCTCTGTCAGTATGGGGTCCAAAGGTTTTAACAGCATTTCAGGGAAACATATCACCAGGACTTCCATAGGAGGAAATTGAGACATTCCAATTATACAAGAAAACAGAGTAGACTATTTAAAATGCCTTAATTAGCCTGGTTCCCGGAACATGTCATCCTGCTGATATCCATAGAAAATAAGAGACTCAAGTAACTGCAAGCCATTTTTGCCACTCCCAGTGTCTGCTCAATCGGATTACAATGAACCACTGTCTAAGGTCACACAGGTGCTGAGAAATCAGTTTATCCCTTGGGACTTGCAGGAGGCAAGGCTATACAGTATTTCTAGTGGTATGCTAGAAACTTCAGCATATATATTCTGAATATACTGTGCCTGTACAACACATACACATAGGCCCAGATCCTCTTCTGGGGTGAAATGGCATCAGAGGTCTGAAGACCATAAATACAATAAAGGCAGTAAATCTATGCCAACCACATAAACTACAAATATGGCTCATTTTCTGCACTCCAAGTGCAACACTTTTGGAAACTAAAACAAAATACAAAAAACCACCCCACAAAACCTTTGCTTCCAATGTCATGGCAGGTTATTGCTCAAAATCACATACTGAGCAACAGGCAGCAAACACAATATTATATTTTAACGATGTATAACAAACTTCAAGAGGTTTTATATAAATTTCAATGGTCCTTAAAACTGGCACTAAGCAGTTTTATAGCTAGAAGTTTTTGGAATGTAAGAAAACATAGCTCAATAAATAGCTTCCTGCAACAAATACATTTTAACTCATTAAACAAATGCAAAATAAACACACACTACAAAAATAGTTAGCATTTTGGATCTTATTTCCAAAGGTCTCCGAGTTCCAGGGTATCAGTCAGTCCCTAATTAGAATACATTATCCATCTACTTGACACTTCAGTGAAATGTCTATTCCACCACAGAGCTGCAGCTTTGTTCAGAACAGGTTTATTGATATTCTGCTGCATTCCCTCTCCATACCCCCAGTGGCTTGGTTCTGTTTTATCACACATCAAAAAGGCCGTATGCTCAGGGCACCCCATGCACAGCTCGGAGCTGGAGGTCTGAACAGCTGCAAGTAGTATGGTATCACAGGAGGGACAAGCTCCAAGCAGATGTCACAGATAAAAAAAAAAGAAAATGAAAAAAAAAAAGAAGAGTAAAAAGGGAATGTGGCTTGGGAACGAAGCAAGAGGAAGCAAGACACAGCAGAGCGAGACCTGACTTAAAATATGCCTATCATGCTTTATGCAAACACTGGTCTTCTTTGCCCTCCTGACTATCATTAAAGTGTAATTAGTAACTTCACATAGTAAATTTGTTTCTTTAAGAAGCCATCTATTTTTTGTTCTTGATAGCAGTAACCTTACATCCGTGCATGGATTGCACCTTTTCACATCAAGAGTGGAACAAAGGCTAAAAGTGCCTTTACTCCGTGGTCACTGCTCCCTCTCTTTCAGCTGGAAACCTCAATCCTTTGCCACAGGAAGACTGCTGTAAATCCAGCATTCTGCCGGTGCCTTGATGCCAGGTGAAGTGCTCCTTGGAGATCCATGCCATGCTGAAAATCAGCAACAAGGAAATACTTTGAGATCCATCACTTTCCTCTCTAGATTTAAGAAATCTAGAGAAAAGGAAACACTCAAGGTCATTCCCAAATGTAAATGTCATTCCTTTGCTGGCACTACTCTCAGCTATAATATCAAGCCTACATACTTTCATGCTTTCTACCCCAATAACAATGACTTGGGTATTCAAGTTCTCTCCTGTTATTTAATCTGTACACTAATTTTTTTAATTACAGATTGACACTGCCTTAGAATAATGAAAAGGGGTAGCACAAAGAAATAATGAAGAATTACGTGGCACATCTGAAAGAAATCTCAGCCACAAACAAAAAGACCAAACATCACGAATACTGCTGCCTTTAGGAAAAGAAGTCATCACAACAGTTTTTCTACATCATCATCCAGTATTTTTAAGTAGTATTACATGCCTTTCACTCCCACCTGTTAAAAGGGGACAGACAATAATGCAAAAAAAAAATACTATCAGTAATAGTTTTGCCAGTATGGATGTAAAACTTCTGAGATTTTCAGAAAACAGCAGACTGAGAAGTGTCGTTAATCCAGCTCCTGCAGTCCATCAACATGAGCAGTATCAATGATGGAAGAAGCTCAAACTTTACCAAATTTCCCATTAGAAAGACACCTTTTTATTTACCACATTATTTCTGCAAGTTGAGTAAGCTGCAAAGCTTTTTTTTTTTTAAAGAAAAAAGCCACATTCTTCTTGAAAAACAAAAAAGGTAATACCAATCAGAAGTAAATCTACCACTACTCATGGGCCTAAGCTTAGTTTCTACGTGGCCCTGAAGACACCAGCAAGGTTGCTCAGCTCTCTCACTAATTCACCATGTAGCAATCTCTCCACCAGCCTTCCCCAGTTGTATAAATTCCCTTCACAATACCAGCAGTCAGAGGTGCCAGAGCCAACATGTACAAACCCTGTAAGATGAAAAGTCTTCATATCAGCTTCACAAGTCCCAGGTTCTAACATAATGCTTGCAATAAGTTTTCTGTGTATGCTGGAAGACCTACCCGGCTGATCCCTTGCAGTCCTAACTGCATTTGTATTAGAAGAACACAGCCCAGAGTCTCAGCAGAGCTGTTGATCAATAAAAATGTTCTCCTTGGAGAATGCCTGTGACATCTATAAACCTGTGAGTGTCAAAACAATGGCACAAAAAATTCTGTATTCCTACTGTCAGTGGGATGAAAGCTGTACAATTAATGCCAAGCCAATGACACCACAAGGAGAAATAAAACAAACAGCTGGTGGTACTGTGGCCCAACACACTGCTCCTAATCTATTAACAGTGTCAGAAAAAATGCTGACTCATCATTTGAGAGAAATGGCATAAATCTGTTCAATGAAGTACAAAATCCACAGTATTAATTCTATTTCCAATCACACAAGGAAAATATTGCAATTGATATACATAGAACCTCTCTCAAATGAAAAAAAAAACCCCATATATGATGTGAGGAAGGTTTAGTGACCATGAATTACTATTAATTAAGCCTGTGTCTTATCTGCACAGTTAAGTAGTTTTTATTAGTTCACAGAAAGAAAACAGGAGTGGGCATCAGAAAATTATGATCCTTTACAGTTTAGAGTTGTCAGTACTTTTAATATCCTAACACCTCAGTAATTCCACACGAACGTAAATAGTGGTGTTAACTTATTTTTACTCCTTCAGAGCTTTCCCTACTGATGGAAAAGGAAGGACTTTCATAGCAAGATATTTCCCAATGCAAATAAAGGCACTATCATGCAAATAAGGGCACTGTCATGCACATCTCTATGAACTGGCAAAAGGACAAGATTAGCTGGGCAAGGAAAGGTTTGGTTTAGCTTAATGACTTTTCTCAGTAACACTAAACACCAGCAGATAGTATTCTAAATTAAATTCTCATGCAACCAGTGGATTAGAAAACAGGATAGGTTGAAATACTGCTAGTTCTAAGCTACTGCTTAGAGAGACCAGCATACTACCTATTTTGCTACAGTTATAAGCTTGCAACAGAAATATGACGGACAGATGTCCTCTAGCAAGCCTCTCAGGCAGGAACAATTTAAGAGATTACATCTCCAGCTATTCATTACCATCCTGATCAAGTCATCCTTTCCACAGTTCATACACTGTAATGGGCCATCTGATCTAGCTCACACAAGGCAGGCCCATTGAAAGCGACTTCCATCTGTGGCTTACATTAGGATAGTTGACTTCGCACAGAAGCACGTGAAGACTTCTTTGGCAATCATTGACACCATCTGAACTCCAAAAGCTGAAACTTCAATCAGGGGCAGAATTTTTTTTCAATTCTTCTTGCTAGTTTTGTTGATATTTCTCTGCACCTATAGATACCTCTGCACTACAGAATGGTCATCTTAAAAACTACATGGCAATGGGCCAGCCCACAAGATGATTTTGTTTTAGACGGATGGAAGGATCCAGTCTGCAGATCATTGCAGACCACACCAAACACTGAGACAGAGAAAGACATACAAGATATAAGGTTTTCAGCATTTCCAGTTTCTTTCAGTGTCTAAGGCTAAGAAGCTCTAGGAAGTAATTTTCACACATCAATGAACTGTTAATTACCAGGCCTGTTTTATTGAACCAACCAAGTGATGATGACAGTGTTGAGAAGCAGCAGATTTTACTAAAACTATGAGCTTTGCAATATCTCTATGAGGTCAGGAAGTACTGGTTATCCCCTGATCCAAAGGTGTGGCTGTGACAGAGTGACTGTTCTGAAAATATGTACTATTTATCTGAAAAAAAGTGGTTTAGTCCTTCATGAATGTAACATCCACTTTGGGCTGGACTTTTTCCTCTCAAGAAGTGCACCAAATAATGTGAAATCCGTATTTTGGCACTGTTTAAAAACAGGGTTTTATCCATTAGATTAGTATGTCTCTTTCAAATCACCCCTTACAATAGCCCAATTATGGACTCAATAAACCATAACAACACCTGAGATTTTAAAGGAAACACATAAGAGAGATTCTGCTTTCCTTGAGTCCAGACATTCATTTCAACCAATATTAATCTACTTCTCTTTTGGTTCTGTGTTAAAAGTCTCTACTTACATTAAGACTAAGCACATAGAGAAAAAAAGCCACACATCTGTGAATACAGCTAAACCTATTCAGTTTCTTATTTGTATAAACTAGCAGTGAACATATCAATTGTTATCTAGAAGATAATATATTCAAATGCAGTTTTTCCTAACACAGAGAGAAAAGACACAATAAGAAATAAAGAAAATTGGAATGAGTAGTTAGACTTTCCCCCCTTTTCCTCAAGAAGAATTAAAATCTTAACTCAATATATCGATCTTTATATATTTTCTGTTTATCTGTTTTGTCCACTATAACTCTGCCAGTTGCCCCAGGCAATCAACAAAGCTTTGCTTGTTCAGCCTTTGATCATCTCTGTGCTAGAAGATTAGCATATGCATACTCTCATCCTCCCCTTTATCCTGTTAATAAAGCTCCAAACTCCCTCTGCTGATGTTCAAGAAAGCAATCCGCTCCACAGCCCCCAATGATTTGCCCCCATTCCCTCCTCTGCTCAGGACTCAGAATGCTAACTACTATGCACGAGTTGTGTAAGTGCTTATCCACTGGCCCTCTGAGGAGCAATTCTTACTTGTTTGATGCAGTCCACGTTTGACAGACGTTCCTGGATCAGATTGGCCCAAAGCGCATTGGGAATTTTCTAAAGAAAGAACAAAAAAAGGCTGAATATTCACAATTGAGTTCAAAAGGAATTTTACCATGCAGGCATATTCCGGTTAAAGGTGAAGTGAGATGTCTTCTAAAAAATAAATAAATAAATCTTTGCAAGTCCCAAGTCATTACCATAATATATCAGAGAGTTAATAAGGGCACAAAAATCAGTGTTAAAGGTAAGCTGAACACAAAGCCTACATCCACGCTTTTTGCACACTAACATGGAAGCAGTGCCAAGTTTTGCACACCAACATACACACTGGACATCAAACCTGCAAAGGGATCCATAAGAATTTCATATCCACAAGCAGTCCTTTTCACCTCGAGTATCTGGTCCACTACTGCTTCACATGTCAGTGGATTCAGCATTAGTGACATTAGCAGCTACAGTGAGACAAGCAGAACCTCAAACACAGAGCGAATAACACACAGTCTGATTTTTGGGAGTTTAGTTTCGTAGTTTCAAAAGTAGCTCTCACTCTTTCATCATCCAGAAAAAGTTTGTTTAAAGTACATTTCAATGTTAAAGTTAGTTTATTTTTAAACTCGGGACTGGGAAATGGGATTGAAACTGCATGTACCAGTATTTTCAGAAGCACTGTTTCTTGCTGTGACTATTACTTTGCCCGTTTCTAGAGACACTTTGTAAGACAGTATTTGCTATCTGACAGAACAAAATTCCTATACAGATTAACTTTTTTTCTCCCAACAATGTTTCTTCCGTTATTATATTATATTTCCTGACAAGAAATTCACAGTATCCTTCTTTCCTTCTTGTAAGAATTTTCTTCACTATCTTGTTAATTTAGGCCTCATTCTATGCTGAACTCAGTTAAACAAACTATGTAAGAAAGTTTAGCTTGATAAAGTCTATCCGGCCATGCCAGTCAGAGCAGCTGTTAAGAATTTGACTAAATGCTTTGTCTCAGGCTCATTCATTTTGTCATTATTGCTAAAAATGAATAATCAGCAAAAAATCTGCAGTCAGATTCTCTACTACTCAAGTCAAAAAAACATCTTTCACTTAACCATGTGAGCTTGACTCCCTGTTCCACACAGTTCCATATATAGTGGGTTCCCATCTCTTTTTCTAACCAAACAGTCTGAAGGACATTATCCTAATAAAGGAGTATTTTGGTAGGTTTATGTTATACTAAAGGATGCAGATAGATATAATGAAAATGTGGCTGACTATGCAGAAAATTTTCGTAACAATTATCTTCTTTAGATGATGAAACATTTTCATCAGAAGTGGTGGAAATACTACCACACAAGTCACTTTAGAGTGGAGAAAGCACTCCAGAATACAGAGAGGAGACCAGTCTGGCTCTGGAACTGACAAGGTGACCTAGTCAGGCACTGGGTTTTCTTGTATTGTTTATCTCTGCCATCCCCAGTTCTCAGTGCCTTTCCTAATATCAGCCATTCATAAGGCAACATTCAAGCAAGGAAAAGAGAAAAAGGGAAAGAAATTGTGGCGTTTCTTGAAAGTCAGCAGGTCCCATAGGGTGGTGCGTCAAAGCCTCCTGCAGCCTCTCGCTGCTGGAGCCTGGGTCTGTGGCTTTGAGTCTGTCACCTTCCAAAGGTGCCCCATGCTGCTATCAGAAACAGCCAGCGTCTTGCTTCCTTCTTTGATGTGTCATGTCAAGACAGGCTAGCGACTGCCGGGGGTCCACTCTGCTAAGCCTTGCCAAACCAATTTAAACCAAAATTATACTAACTTCTTTCAGTGCAGTGGTATTCTTAGTGCTCTCCTTCAAGCAGGCTTTATTGGACAGAAACAATCAAGGACACACGAGTGGGTATTTCAGTGTTTTAGTTCCTTCTGCTCTCTGTGGCTCAATTCCAGTCTCATTTCCTGGTCACTTTTCCTCCTACTGAGCAGTGGCCTACAAAATCATTTTCAATGCATTGCTTGTAGAATTATTCAACCAGAAGTCATTAAATCTGATAATATCAGATAGCCCATTTACAATTACTCTCTCATAAACACTCACATAAATATATCATGAGCCTGGTAGATGGAACTCCACCCAGAAATCTGCAGTAACGGACAATGACACACGTACATTTGTTTCTACAGAACCGTACCTTATCTAAGGCACTTTGGGCCTGTCCCAACATTCAGCTTAGTTAATGGAAAGACCTGCTGTATGGTACTTTGTTTACGTTCAGACCACTTCTCTATAGACACTGGTTTAATCATTATTTCCATACTGCTGAAAAACTGTACTCTTTCATGATTAATTGTAAATATTTCATGTTAATTCAGGGACATCATCCTTCAACTTACCTGCCTGATCTACTCAGTTATATCTCAATGATCTTTTCATAAAACTGCCACACTATTTTTCAGGGGGGAGGAGCACTTTCACTAGATGTTTTTATTGGAATATTTCGATATATTTGTTCTGAAAACAGTTACAGCTAATCCATTCTGACTTCCTCGAGATTGCAAGTTGGAGTAAAGAGCAGTGAAATTTGAAGAAATTTGGTTTAGTATTCTGAGAATCATGAATGTTTAGATTTCACTTGTTCAGATAAACACACATGAAAGGTTGGTCTTTTTTATGTACACACAACACTGGAACAGTTCCTATGTGTTTCTTCATAGTGGCTTGCTCTGGAATAGACTAGGAGACCGAACGTGCATAGGTAAGGATGCCTTGGACTTTCCTCTCTTCTGTTATATTTCTTCTCAAAAAGCACAGGGATATGATGCAAATCTAGAACAGTTTTAAGTCATTAAGTAGTACACAAACACATTAACTACAATTTTGTATAACATTAAGAGCACACCCATTCCACAAGCCCACAATTACCACAGTTGTTTCAACTTATTTTATCCAGTTAACAGGAAAAGTGAAACATGCAATAGCTGATCATTAGACTTCACTATAGGAAAAACCTGAAGGTGCTTCCTATTAACATTATAATAACGAGAGATGAGGGAATAATTTGCAATGATTTATCAAAAAATGTAGCCTCTTTTTCTGTTCATTGAATATTTATTGATAACTCATGGTTCTTCCAATGTATTGAATATTCAAATATATTTGACTTCTTTCATGGAATATTTTTACATGCAGAATGATCACATTTTGCTTTGAACAGTCAATATTTAAAATTCACTACCTGAGCTGTGCTCATTAGTAAGTGGTCAGGTGTGTGTCAGTGAATGATTGCATGTCCAACTTTAAAAATTGAGCTTCAGAGAATAATCACGTATTTTAAATACACCTTCCATGAATTCTTGTGCCAGGAAAACTCAAGTGCTTTAATGTTCACTGGAAGCGAACACAAAAGAGATGAAAGCTTAGCTGAAGATAAGTAAGTAAAATATGTGAACAAACATTTGCAGACCTTTTTGCAGCGTTTGCCCAGATCTAGTAGCATTGGCCTACTGACCTAAAAATGAATGACCTTTGGCACTGGGGTTAATTTAGCCACAGTAACCTTATACGCATGAAACGTTCCTCTAAGACCATTGGATTGCGTTATATGATCTTCACACCAGACTTTCAAAAACACAGCCTCAGTTCCTGCTTTTCACCTTTCCATTTATTAAATTGCTTTGGCCAGGACTACAACTTTTTAATGCCCTGGCTGTATCAAAGACAGTATAAACAGCTATTGTTCTGTTCCCAGAGAGACATTCAAACCCTATTAGTGCTACTGGATGTTATGTATGCTACAAGAGTCGAGTTTACCACTCACTTCAGCAGAACCAGGGGTCAGTTATGGCAACAGTAGACTTAGCCAGCAGACATGAATCAGCAAGAGAAAAAATAGCTCGTGAGATGACAACTTGGCTACATTTTAAGTCATTGTAAAGCTCACATTGATTTAGAGGAAGCAAGGAGTTCCCTCCTAGTTTTAGGAGTCACATTTGAAGAATCAAACTCATATAAAAGAACAAAAGAAATCTCGTGAAAACGTTCTTCTAAGATCTAACATCTCAAAAACAAAGGCAAACTGCACAGTACCAAACCACCACCAGATTCTGCTCTTTGGGTACTCCTCACTACCTGATTAGCCTTGACAGTTTTTACTTTCATCTTCCATGCCATCCATCTTTTTAAATCAGATAAGCCCAAAAGGACACCCTTGAAAGTGCATCTGTATAGTATGAAATATGTTAATAATTACAGTAATTAAACCAAAGGGAATTTTTGTTTCAAATTCTTCCCCTCTAAGTTGAAATTTATGATTCTAGCAAAACAATCTTTAATAATTGGAACAAAGATTTCAAAGTACATATTCAAGAGAAGAATAATTTTATATCATCCCAGCCAAAAGCAAACCTTTTTGCCAGTAAGTTCAGCGAGTTAAATGAACTCTTTCCTTTCAGATCTTTAAGAATATTACTCAAGGCATCTCCAAACTTCATTCACTAATTCAGTGTAATAAACCCTACCTTGTTTTCAGCCTAATTTCCTAAAGAAAAAAAAATCTACACCATCTACCATCATCTCAGCAAATAATGAATCTGTTGGCCAGTTTTAATCACATTTAGCAGGGGTGCAGAATCCACAAAGATATGAAATAGCTTCAATCTTTATGAAAATAGGTGATGAGGGAGAAAAGGGAAACTCAAAGTAGTGGACTTCCTAGAGAGAGACCAGGAAAGCCAGACTTCTTCCATTCTATTGCTCATGTTACACCCTGACATCTGGAGAAAGGAGTAAGCAGCAGAGATGCTTCTGTGTATTCAGGATATCTTTCAATTTATTTTTCCAATTTACTTGTCACTAGCCTTTATATAGCCTTTCAATAACTGACTGGATCGTCATACGTCTTTTGAGCTAATGCACTAAGTAAGTTATTTGTGTCATGCTACAGAGAAATCAAGCATGCACAACTAAGTAGCTCTGTCAGATCAAAAAAAGTTCTTTGTGTACATATTTTCCAGAGCATTTTGTACTGAAGGAGACCTCAGAGATTAATGCTTATTTTATTGAAATTATCAAACATGTTGAAACAGAGGATGCTTTGTTAATGATATAATGAACCATGTTTTAAATTGTATTGTGCATCCCTGGACTTCTCACAGTTCTGTTGCTCATGCCTAAGGCTAATGATTTTAAGACCTCCATTACTCTACACTGTCTATCTCTCCTGCCCCTCTTCTATGCCCCGACACATTTTTATCTCTGTTCATATCTTATGTAGCAGAGGTTACCCTTATTCTCTGAAAGGCATTGTACCTACATATACACAAACCAATGTAAAAACCACCATAGATATAAGATTATTTACTCTGATCTTCTCAACTCAGCAGTGGAAAACATGGGAATGCCACATAATTCCTCTTCTGTGATATGAGAACTACTATTATAATATCCTCTTACACACCTGTTTTCTTTCTTTATATGCCTTTGCTTCCTTTGTCAGCGCTAATATTTCCTTGAATAACAAAGTCTCCCGAGAGATACGTACGGCATCCAAATGTTTACAAAGCCACATTGCCTGAGGGAAGAAGAGAAAAACACAGGTGGAAATACTTGGAAAGAAAATGAAGCATTTTTTCAGAAGGCTGCAGAAAAGCAGAGAGTGTTTTCCTAGCCTTCCATTTAAGTATACAAGCTATATCTCTAACTTCAAGCAGTTTCTTACAAAGATGTTCAAGATTCTACAGCTTTGAATAAGGTCTTTTTCATCTACTGTGCTACAACACAGACTTTGCAGAAGAAAGCATTCTTCCTAGTACGCACACATGACCATCATCTGCAAAGTTTCTGTGGTCAGCTTTCTCTGGTTCAAATACAACTCTTGACATTTTCAATTACACAGTACCAGTGGACGTGTGCGGCAACAGGCCATGCAAATGAAGCAATCCACTGTATGGGTGTGTCACAAACATGTAACTATGGTACTCCTCCCAGGTTAATTAGCCCTGCTAAAAAGCTGGGAAAAAGAGGGCAGGCAGAAATCTGTTGCATTACAGCTGTATCACTACCACCGCCTGCGCAAGCTCTTGCAGAGCTCATGTGAATATTTCCATTTAACATGTAGTGTAATGTACAGGCAGATCCCTCAAACTTGTCGAGTGCTCTTCTACCACTCTGACAACTTCGAAAATTTTTTTCTCAGAATAAAATTGTCACAAGTGCTGATCTCAGCAGAAAGTCAAAAGGTAACTGGACAGTATTATAACGTTGAAGGCAGCATACTTACAACTGTAGTTTTCCCGGAAGCAGTTGGACCAAGTACACAAATTCTTGGAGCTGTGAAACAAGAATATGTGAATGTCAAGATGCAGAATAGCAAAAATCCTAACCAGTTTCCCACTACTGCATTTAATAGGTGTAATCACAATGAAACAATTATTTCAGCTGGAAATCTGCTTGAATGGAGCCTTCAGGATTGGGCTCCACTGGGGAAACAAAGGGCAAACACTAAGTTAGTGCCAGCTGGGTCTTCCTTTAATCTCCATGGTCAATGAGATTAATACTCTGACTAAACATGCCACTTAGAGAGGTATATATCTCTCTCAATCAATTTAAACACATGGACAGTCTAGTAGGTGAACCAGAGCATAAGATACAAACATTTCCCTATCAGAGTTTGACTTATACTCCTAAAATGTTGATTTAGACTTAACACGTTTTGTGATTTAAAAATATTTTAGTTTTTACATGCAGGGCTATTTAAGACCGACTATTATCATAATCATGGAATGGTTGATATCGGACAGGACTTCTTGAGATGGTCTCTTTTCTCATTTCCCTTGCACTGTATGGTAATAAAAATACTTTTTACTGTGGCAAAGCTTTTGGCTTTCATCCCCAAAAATGCAATTTCACTTTTTAGTTTCATCTAAACAGGTTATGTAAGGGTTCAGAGAAGATTGAGATATTGCAAAATTAAGCACTTTCTACCCTTTTTCACAGCTACTTTTAATTTTTCCAGTCATCATTAAACTTAATTTTCTTTGTCTCTGTATCTTGTGTTTCTCTACTGCATGTCCCTCTCCTTTCCCTGAGGGGGCAAGGTGGCAAAAATGCATCCCAGTTCTGAGGAATTCTTAATCTAATGCATACAGACAACACAATAGGCATTGCTGTCATAAGTGACATCGGGAAGGAACTAGAGGCAAGACAAACAAGGAGAAATGGAGTAACTCTTAGGAGAGTATTTGGGACTTTTTCCATGAGCACACCTTGGGCTGCAATCCCTTGAGCTGTCATTTTATATTAACATCTTTGATATTTTTTCCTCCCCTACACCTCGGGGGGGGGAACATCTGAACTAAAGGAGACCACATACAGAAGGGACTGATGAGTGTTTACTGGGAGTAACATAGGTCAAACCAGAGGAGAGATCTACTCACCCAAAACCCTCTTCAGCTCTTGATAACCAAGAGAGATAGAGCGTTCGATGGCAGCAGACAGGGAAGGATGTGAAATGTATTTTTATGAGGCCTTCCATGCACTTAACAGTTAATGGGCAGGTGCAATTTTTAAACATACATGAAACCCAAATTACAGATTCATCTTTACAAAGTTATCTGACTTGGAAGGTTTAAGAAAAACTCCCCCCTTATTGGTTCTTGCAAGTGCAACAGAACTAGTACACAATGTAGAAAAATACTTTAAAAGGATACATCAGCTGTTTTTATCATCTAATTTCTTTCAAATGTAATGTGATTAAATCCTAGGGTTTTTTTAATCTAACACCTTGAAACTCCAGCCCGGTACTTAGGAATTATTTATAAACAGCGTCATAAAAGAGTGCTCGGGTGCCAACACTAATCAACTTCTTCAAACCACTTCAAAGAAAATCAAAAAACCTTTCCATCCACAGATCCTTTTGAGGTTTAACTAGGAGCATGATTTAAAATTCACAAGAAAACCCTTAGGTATTGAAGCTTTAATACACAGCTTTCTTGGACAAACGTTTGATAAAAAACGAAACATACCATTATATACACCATATCATGCTTTAATATTGCCCAGGGCTACTGTAAATGCTCACTTTGTACTAAATCTGGTTTTCTCTCTGCTTAGTGGCTGGCGGCAGATGGGCCACTGTAATTCACTGATTTACTCATTTGCACACTTGTAAGACTCCTCCAAAGCATTCTCCCCAAACATACGACACAAGGGCACAATGAGGACACGGCTGTATGTAATGTTTAACTCCCTCCAATCAGCAAATAGTCAGTATTTAATTCTGGAGGTCTAAATCAGCAGCTAAAGTCAGGAATATCTAGAAAATGCCTTTTTCTTCAGTAACAAATCATATTTCATCCCATGTTTAGTCTTGATAAGGTGTTACGGGATTTACTCTTCCAAGTTTTAACATTCGCCAGCAATCTTAGTAATAACAAAATTAATCCTGGAATAATGCTAAAAACCAGCTGGACTCACTGACTTCCATTTCAGTCCAAAAGACTCTATGATTAATATTAATGCAAAAAAATTTGTTTAACTTGTAAGAGAAATCCTTTGTCAAACAGGAAAAGCACATAGTACACGATGAACACTCTCGCAGAACTTCTTTCTACATTTCTTGAGAGGTTTGACTGAAATGAAGAACTCATCCTGGCTCCTGAAAGCTTTTTTTGTTAGCACAAACCAAGATGCAATGTAGAAAACTAGCATCTTTGTCTCTTAAAGAATTACCACTCTTCATATGGTTCTCGAAGGCTTTTAGAAGCAGTACACAAAAGAACAACAGCACGGAGCCTTAAGCACAAACATTTAGCCACACATTTGACCTACAAGATTTTCAAGACAGTAAGCTATAATCATCATTAGACTTGTTTATATTTTTAAGAGTACTTTAGATCCTATTATTAATTAAAAAGGTTTTCTAACTTCACACCTGGGATAAATGCAATGCTTCTTTTCCACACATCTCTGTTTGAAATTTTCTCTAGGGCTAGAACTGTCTAGCAAGGCAAGATCATGAAAATTCATCACTTTACTGATGGCTCTAATAAGGTTTTTTTTTCTTCTAAATAGTCAGCACCTTCCGCCATGATCAAAAAGTAAAATCAACTCCACTACAGATTTCTGTTACATTATTTTCCATATAATTTATTCTTAAAACAACATTTAGACTTTAATTTTAATTGGAGTTCCTTCCCCTTCTAAATAGGCTTATCCAGACCAAAAGGAGACAGCATTTTTCCTTTGACAAACAACTGCTGTAGTTCTATCTTTAGCCTCCAAGTACTGAAGCCATGAAATGGAAACCTGCCTAATTCTGTTTAAATAATACCGTGGGGCTTAAGGACAAACGGTAGCTCCATGTGAAGAAATTTTATCAGTGTTCTAGCAAACTGCATGAAAGTCCTCTGCATATTTTCCACGGGTCTATAAAAGAGATTGATTACTCTTGCTGCCTGCATCAGAAAAGGCTGGGCACAATTTGCAGGATTTGATTTTTTGATATATAAATGTACTTAGCAGCATTTCAATCAACATCCACCTGATCACCACCACTAAGAGCTCACAGCACCTCGAGTGAGAATGATTTCACTGATGCTACAGCAGAACTTTCAAAATGGTTTACTGTGGTTTTAAAGAAACATCAAAGCCACATGACACTACCTAGCCCTGACAGCTCATGCAGAACAAAAATTATAGTTCAGTTGTGCATATCCAAATATAATCTGCCTAAGGGTGAACAGTTTGTAAATCAAATAATTTGATTGAGTGTACATGCTTTTATTGTGCAGAATACAGACTTCCTATTCAATTTACCAGGTTTTGTTATCCACACAAATAGGCATGCTCACTGTTCCTGCATCTGAGGTGCCACTGAGCAGTGGAACTCATTAACAGCAGCCAGTAACTAACTAATCAAAAAACAGAGAATCTGCCAGCCCAGGTAGAATAGGAAACCAAATTTACACCTGACAAAAGGAGTAATTAGCGAGCTTAAAGACAACAGGAAATATCAGATGGGGCACAGAACGCATTAATAATTGATACACTAGAACTCTTTGTTATTCCCTTAGAGGGTTTCATTGTTATAACTGTTAAAGTGCATTTTTTATTAGATTACTCACTAAAAAAAGAAATTAAAAGCATCTTACCTATAACTATTCCAAAACGCTCATCTTTTTCTTTTTTTTTTTTTCCCCCTCAAGACACAGCCTGAAAAGTTTTATCCATCATTTGCCAACTGAAGTGCAGCTTTCAAACAGCTGTTTACAAATAAGGAATTGAACTATTTATGGAGCCTCGATTTTCACTTACCATCATCGTTGCTTTGCTTTAAATGGTCTATCATATACTGAATGGGATCATCTGGCTTATGAATTAATAGCTCTTCAAGCATGTTCTGAAAATAAATAGGACAAAGTCAAAGGAATATTTAACATAGCTATGCAGTCACAATATATTGCATTTTTACAGCAATGCTACAATAGGGATCTTAAAGAGTTTATAAATGCTTATACATTTTCTTAAAGACTCTTTTCATAGACAAAACTATGAAACCTATTTTAGAGGCTGAAAAAAATAAAGCACGGTCAGAAAATTGCCAACCAAAAAAATTAACATATTTGCTTTGGCTTATTTATGACAGATACGGACACCAGAAAGGTTTGGCTTCAGCAGCCTGGTGTCGATAATGGTTGAGACAGCACTGATGTAAAAACCATGCAAGGAGTTTCAAAATCAGAGTCAACTTAAATCAGTGTTTCTGCAGGGGAAGTTAAACCCCCTTCTCAAGCAATCCCCACCAGTTTCCGAGTAGCCCAGAGGGCTGCAGAATCGTCAAGACCTGCAGAAAACACAAAAAATCCAACGAAAGCCACAAATGCAGCACATCTCGCTTTTGTATCCATACTAGTTTTCCTTCTACATGAAAAGTAAGGGGAAGGGGGGGGAGAAATTAAAAAAAAAAGGCCTAAAGCATTTCCTTGACTGCCTATTTTGGCGCTCGTTTTCATATTCAGTGTTTGAGTGTGTACAAGGCCTTGCTTCAGCTGCCCCTGGCAGCAGTGGGGCTCTCCCGGTGATTTCGGCAAGGGTTGTAGTTTCACAGGCAGAGCAGGGAGCAATGCTTAGAAACAACAAATCCACAGATTTTCTTACCAGACATTTCAGCACAGCTGAGAATTTTGCAATTAAAACTAAACATCAAACAGCAACTAATGTTCTGACTTAGATTACCTACTGAAGTGCTCATGCTGGAATAGGACGTCTTTTTCTAAAAATCAGTCATAGCAGTTTAATATTTGCAAGCACATTGCATAAAGTCTGTATATTGCATAAAATTTTATACTCTAACCAATTGATTGTCTTTTATTGGAGTGGCCTATTTTCCTTTTCTACTTCATCCACTTCATTAGAATAATGAAAACACTCAATTTGGTTTATGAACTGTTTCACGTGCAAGTCCCGATGCTTCAAGGTCTGGGTAGCACATAGCATAAAGTACGAAATTTGTATTTTTATTGGAAGTCAATTTAAAAACACTACTGTCCAGCAACATTTAGTTAAACTAAGAAATCAGAATTGGGCACTACAATTATCAGCAGCTTTAAAAACAACAAACCTAGAAAATCTGGTCTTATTACGACTCAAAATTGTTTAGGCTGACAACGATTAATACTTTCACTATTTCATGCCCAAATCCTACCAGCGCTTACATGCACGCTTCATTTTATCCAGTTTAATTTCACATTAGGAGTTCTGTAAATCTCTGGGGGAGGTCCACGATTTGGGTCTCATGTTTTAGATTTCATATGTTGGGTTTTGTAAATATTTAAGTGTAGGAAAACAATTTCAAGCTGTGTTTGTTTATATCGTTATGTTGCTACAACACAATTGAAACATGAAAAGAAACACAAGACCCTGAGTAAATCCCGTGTTTTATGTAATACGAGGTCCTGCAGCTGCATTCAATACCTCACGCCATGCAAAACACAGTATTTCCATAAAACACCCACAAATATTATACCACACTGGTCATACGAAATGGCCTTGAATTACATGGGGGGGGGGGGAAAGAGATAAAAAAAAGAATAGGAAAGAAATATAAGCTTTTGTGTGTTTTCCAGTGAGATCTGAAAAGTAAAAAGGCCTCATAACATCGACAGTTACGAGTTAGCAGCGGTACGCATGGGGAGTCTGTAACAAGTGCTCATACTGGAACAGCACCAGAATATTTAGTTCCTCACACAAACCTCCCTGTGCTCGACAAAAGGGCTTTTTCCAGATTTACAGCACAAAGCACACCATTCTCCAAGGCAGGGAAACCGGTATTGTTATTTACTGAAATCACAACAATATCAGAAGTGTACTTCTTATTTATTTCAGACGCACATCTCCACCGAAAAGCCACGACAGCAGCAGGAGAAACAACTTTAAAGGGATAACGCTGGCAAAGGGGCAGCAGCCCTGGCTCGGGAGGGCAGGACCCCTCAGCACCGCCTTTCCCACGCTCCTCGGCCCCAGCCCGCCTGTCCTTCCAAGTCTCGGCACCTTCCTCCCACAGGCTGCCGCTTTCTTTCGCAAAATCGACACGCAGTGAACCCTAGCGATTGCCCAGCTATTATTAAAATAGGTAACTAAGGGCGCTCGGTCAGTGCGCGGTCCCTCACACAGGGACACCCGCCCACGGGTTTCCACACGAGACCGGTACCGGCCGCTGGGGGAAACGGCCCCGGCAATGACC